CCCCGGTTCTGATGGAGGTTTTTCCTGTTTAAAGGGAGTTTTTCTCTCCACTGTCACTGCAAGCATGCTGCTCTGTGTGAGGGATTGCTGCAGTAACTGAGCTCCTTTCTCAGCCTGGAGGAGTGATTCCTGTAAAGTCAATGAAAGGAGCCGAGTTTCCTTAGAACATTTTTTATCCCGTCTATCAGCATAATTTGAGCATAAATGTTAATTGGAACAATATAAAACAACTGAACTGAATGAATTTATTTATTGGTTTTCCTGATGCTGTTTGCAGCAGCGTGTGTCTAAGAAAGAGCCTTTTGAATAAAATCTGTTTTTCATTCCTGTACTCCCACCTAACAATGCAGCACATCTTTTTTATTGTGGTCAAACACATAAAATATAAAACATGCAGGAGATTTAAGAAGCAAAGAAACAGAATGTGAACAAAATGTAAATAGGGGATATATTCCTATGTAAAGCACTGCAAGCATCGGGGAAAGAAAGGAGCGATGCTTGAGGATGCTTGAGGATTTTGCAAAGTTTGGAGAGCAATGGAATGTCATGTGACCTATGAAATCTGTGCATAAACCAGCTTTCCTGGTGCACTGTTGCAGAAAAGCAAGTGCTTTCAACATTTAAATCCTCCCTTTCACTCCTGTCACTTCATCCCTCCTTATGCTTTTTTCGTCTGAGCATCCTCTCTCTGCCTCCAACGTCTTTGGGGCTTTTTATTCCGACCCCGGATGAGGATGGAGTTCCTTGTGTTAAATGCTTTTCTGCATATGCACACAGCCATCACAAATTGATTACCATGTAATGCTGCAGGCACTCCCAGTTTCCTTCACAGCCTCACCTCTTGCATGGCTAGATTTTCTTTGAGGTTTATTACATGTCCGACCTGCCCATCATTAAACTGCAGCACCCCCCCGTGACACAGACAGGCACATCTTAAACCCTCCTCTCATTTTTAGTCTCTGTGTCAGTCTCAGCACTGAAGCAGCTTCTCCTTCACCTGTTTTAACCTCAGCTGCTCATTTTCTTTTATTCTCATTCTAATTATACCATTACATTACCATTTCTATTCTCTCATTTGCATTTCTTGCTCGGCCTGTCTCTTATTTTTCCATCTCTAATTCTCTTTTTTCACCTCTCTCCTCCTGTGTCACCCTTTCTCTTCTCAGAGGCTGAATTTGTTCCACCTTTTTTGCGGCACATAAACAGACAGTGCCCTTGGGGATGGGTTGGAGAGCTCGGCTTTTGTTTGTGTGCTCCTCTAACTAACTCTCCATCTGCAGGGAGCCCAGCCAAGCCCAGCAGTGCACGACAGATAGCTGGCACCATCCCAGACTCTTCTCTAGTTGGCCCTGTATCATCATCCCCGCCTCTCAGCTTCTCCTCCTCCTTCCAGGCAACATTCTTCCCACAGAGGCTTTTGTCAACTGCCCTCCAGCAGTCAGTCAGGCACTGTAGACATGTGACCTCTTCAATTTCTCCTCCTTAGAAGCGTAAACCAAACCCTGCCCCTGTTTGCCATGGATATTCACTGCTTGTTTCCAGCCACTGGACTTTCCCCCCAGCAGCATCGGAAGGATCACCTCCTATACAAGCTTACCAAATAACCTATAGCGCATTTTCTGGATTAGGTTACATCAAAGAGCCTTCAAAGAGAGCGGAGCTTAAGCATTAGCATTGCTTCAAAAGCACAGAGTTTCAATCATGTAATCGCCCAGGGCTGGAATGTAAACCTTTGAAAAAGGTGAAGCATTTTTTGTTGCAATCCCTTGTAGGAAATTCGATGTCATCATCATAATGAGACTAGAGGGAAAACCAACGACACAGAAGTGGTCTGACTCCTCCATAGGCTTACTTCATAAAAATACAACCAGCTCATGAGAAAAGGCGATCCGTGAGGTCAAAGAGAACTGGAACCAGGTCTCAGCAATAGAAGAAATGGCTTCAGGTCATACCTGACTGGAAGCAAAGCATTAAAAGCTAAATTCAGGGTCTATAAACACCAAGAGATCAGAGAAAGGCGTTCTCCATCCAAAGGGAGCGAGAACAAAACCAATCAGTTCAGTCTGTTCCCCGTGACGCAAACCGATCCGTCCTGGAAGCACCATCCATCCTGCACGACAAGATTTACATGCGGGTGTCCATTATGCTACTAAACGTACTTATTTAACTCTCTAAAGAATGCTAATACGCATCTTTAAAAATGTTTTATGACTTTTGTGAGACAATTTTGATGCTTTTTACATTTTCTGTGTTAAACTGCATCTCTGACGTCATCATGGAACACGCTCAGAGCAGTAAATCTGATTAAAGCAGGTTTATCTGCATTTTAGTTTGTTCTTTCTTTAGATTACGCACCATATACATACACACTATATCTATGCACTATTTGCACCATTCGCACTACTGTTTACATATTTAAATATTTTAATATTTAATTATATCTTATATATTTAATTAATATTTTTATATCTTAAGTTTTTATTTCTATTTTTATTTTATGCTATGGTTCATTATATATTTTTTTTATATTTTATTATGCACGGTGGGGTTGAGAGGACTGAAATTTAATCTGTGTTGTATGTTTACCATGTAGCACATTTGACAATAAAGTTGAATTGAGTTGAGATACCATAATTTTAACAGGAAAGGAAAACATAAAACTCAAAAAGACTCGATTTATGTTTAAATCCAAAGCCGATAAAGTTCGCTCCTGGAAGCTAACTGTGCAGATCGGGCACAGAGGAATAAAACAGGAAGGATTTTAATGCATTTATTTTATCAGGAAATACATCATTAACATTTAACACATTATAGTTTAGTACGCTTACTAATTTCCGGGAGGGAAAATGTAATTTAGGTCTTTTTAACAAAATAAAATCGAGGGCGACCCGGATGGATATCTGGATGATGATGAGCTGACGGCGCAGGACGGATGGCGGTTCCGGGACGGATCGGGGGGGTGACACCCCGATGATTTAAAAGCTCTGGTTCTTGATCTCTGCTCTGGATGGATGAGTTTTCTCTAGAGGTCTGAAATGTTATCTCATTTAAAGAGTAGAAATACTCCATTGGCTTACTTATCTTATTTACCTTCTACTTAATTTAGAAAATATTGAGTTATTTCTAAATCTTGTTTTCAGTGAAATTTAGCAAGAAGAATTATTGTGTGATTCTTTTGCTGCTTAATTCAGAGGCAGAAATGGAAGTCAACATTTCATAGCAACTGGAAAATCATCTTATTGTCTTCAGCATCTTAGTGAAAGAGTTTGCATTGCTGAAACATAAAAAAATGAAAAGTGTCTGCTTCAAAGTCTGTCAGCACAACAGGGCGCCTCGAGAAGTGTTTTCTGTGAAGATAGAAACCTAAAGCGCTCACCTTCATATCTGGGGCTCATAAGAACATGTTAAAGTTAACAAGTCATTTGCTTAGAGTAACCAGGAAGAGCTTCGTCTGTCAATCTTTCCTTTGATGAGAAATGTTTCGCTTTAATACTGAAAGATCTGATGCTGTGAAATCCTGTCACGGCCCCACACTTTATACGTTTGACATCAACAGCTTGGTTTCATGATATCAAGGTCTTTACAAATAATGTTGAACTAAAAATAACTGCAGTTTTTTCTTTTTGTAATCGGTGGGAGAGAAACATCAAAATGATCCAATCGTTCCTTTAAGGAAAAGTCGCTCATATTCACAATTTAAACTTCTACGTCCTGTTCAATAAATGATCAGTGTTTTTAATTCAGAGTAATTTTCATGTGAATGTGCTTTACTGGAGGCATCCATGTT